GTTATAAAATAAAATCAGTACATAATTTCTCAATCTTTAAAAAGAACTCGTTAATGATTTAAACATAATTCAACGCTAAAGATAGCGGAACAGAAAACTTACACATTTTGGGCTGCGAGAAGGGCCTCCTGGTCCTCGCGTCTGAAGCGGCCTGCCCTCTTGATCATGGCCTGGATGTCGTCATTGCTGAGGTACGCCTCCTGTGCGGACACCTGCACTTGCGCCTGCCGCCCAGTGGTCGGGTCGGCGGCCGTCACCAGCAGCAGGCCGCTCTCGTCCAGCTCGAACGTAACATCGATGATGGCCTGGCCTTTGGGTTTGGGAGGGACCTCGATGTTGAAGTCCTTGTTGAGATAGCAGTTGTCGGTGACGAGAGGTCTGACTCCTTGGTACAGCTGGTAACAAGAACAAGACAATGATTCATTATTAAAAAGGTGGAAACTGACAGTTCTCCGTATCGGATTCATCGGAAATCTGCGACGCGCAAGTAAGGGTCTGTCTGCATCCCCTACAAAGAAGCACGACGTGGACTGACGAGTAGGTCAACTAGCCTCACCTTAATCTGTATCGCTGTCTGGTTGTCGAGGGAATTGCAGTACTTTCCAGTGCTCCTGCAGGGAATGGGCGTGTTCCTTTTGATGAGGGTGCTGAACCGATCGCCGCTGATTTCGATGCCCAGAGACAGCGGGGTGGCGTCCCTCAGCTTGACCACGCCGTCGACCACCTTGTCGCCGACCACCTTGGCGGCGTGCAGCGCCGCGCCGTGCGCCACGGCCTCGTCCGGGTTGATGGACAGGCGCAGCACCTTGCCGTTGCCGAACATGTTCCGGAGCAGCGCGCGCACCTTGGGGATGCGGGTCGAGCCGCCCACGAGCACCACCTCGTCGATATCAGCGGGCGCCAACTGCAGGGCAGCACACGCGGTTTACCCATACAGCTATTCTTTTTAGACAGTCCCTAAGACTGTTCTTACCGGCAGGAAGTGCCCCTGCCCCCCCTCCCTCCTTCCTCTTTCCCCCCCCTTTCCCTGTGTGACGTTGCTGGTGGAGTTGAGAGTGAGGAAGACTATGCAATCGCCACCGCCAAACGGGCCCCGGGGGGCTAGGGATCCCGGTTTCTTACCTGGGCATCGGCAAGCACCTCCTCGCCAACCGCGATTGTCGTGCTGAACAGTGGGGCGCACAGGTCTTCGAACAAGGCCCTGGTGACGGTCGTCTGATAGATCTTGCAGAGCGGGGTGAAGAACACAGAGATGGTCACTTGCGGCATGTTGGACAGCCTGCGCTTGGCGAGCTCACAAGCCTTGCGGAGGTCTTGCACGGCCTGCTTGTCCTCAGTAAGGTTCGCGTTCAACTGTCGCTTTGCGTCCTAAAAAAAAACACACACGAGAAGATGAGTGTTGCCCAACTTGCCTCTGCTAGGGCAGGGCGGTGATGATGCTCGCCTTGATGCAGTGCGCGATGAGGACCTCGTCGAAGTTCTGGCCGCCCAGGTCGGTCGTTCCGCCCGCCGCCAGGACCGTGAACTCGCAGCCGCTGATCCGCACGATGGACACGTCGAAGGTCCCGCCGCCCAGGTCGAAGATGAACACGGTCTTTGGGGACTTGGCGGTGTCCTTGTGCAGGCCGTGCGCCAGCGCGGCCGCCGTGGGCTCGCTGATCACGGACAGCACCTCCATGCCGGCGATCTTGCCTGGGAGGAGCATCAACAACACGCTGGAGCACACAGACAGGAAGTCGAGGGAGGGGAGCAGGTGCTCAGTACTCACAGGCGTCCTTGGTCGCCTGGCGCTGCCTCTCGTTGAAAAAGGCGGGCACGGTGACGACGGCCTTGGAGACAGTCTGGCCCAGGGCGTCCTCGGCCGTCTTCTTCAGGTCACGCAGCACCATGGCCGAGATCTGAATGGTTGGGGATGGCGGGTATCAGTCGCGGGGAAGACGACGCCGCCGCCGGTCCTGATCCCGGAAGACGGACTCTTCCGGCAACTCACCTCCTCGGGGGCGAAGGTCTCCAACTTTCCGCCGACGTCCACCCGGATCCTGGGCACGCCCGCCTGCTCCACCAGCTCGAAGGGCCACACGGCCCTGTCCTTCTGGACGTGCAGGTCACGCCACGGGCGACCTATCAGCCGTTTGGCATCTGCGGCAACGAGGGGGCTTCAGGGGGTGTATCCAGCGACCTACCGACAACCTAAGTGAGGTCCCTGACTGGTCCATTAGGCATTTCGGTAATGCTGAAATGCAGAAGAATGCAGGGAACAAGAAAACAGAAGTCACGTGTATAGGCATAGCGAGTTCCGTTTTCTTCTTCTTCACCGCATTCTTCTCCATTTCAGCTTTACCGGAATGCTTTATTCGCCCAAAACAAATGACTCGCGGTGCGAATTGGCCAATCAGGGACCTCCATTAGGTTGTAGATTGTATGCCGCTGGATACAACGAGGGTCAGGACGGGGAGTGCGGGCAGGGCGGGCAGGGCGAGGGCGGATACGCACCGAACACCTGGTTGGCGGCGGGCAGGTCCGCGGCCGCGTCCCCGACGCAAGACTCGCCGTTCAGGAAGCCGACGACGCTGGGCGTGGTGCGCTTGCCGTGCGCGTTGGCGAAGATCTCCACCCTGCCCTCGCGGCACCCCGCCACCACAGAGTACGTCGTCCCCAGGTCGATCCCCACGGCGGCCCCGGGAAGGTCGCGCACGCTGGGGTCGGCTCCCTGACGTTGTACGTAACCTATTTAATAAAAGCCGGACGTGAGAAAGTAAAGGCGGTAAAACAAACAACGCGACGTCCCGTTCCTGCCACGACAAAAGGAGAACAAAAAGTCCGGCGGTAAAGTGAGAAATTCGTGGCGCTCATGCCGATTTTGACTCCAGTCTTTACTCGTGTAAGATTGTCTCATTATACAATCACTCGAAACACATTAAAACAATGATGTCGGTGTTTATCAGTGCGTAAACTGCTCAAAACTCGGCATTCACGTCCCTTTCGGACGACGATGTTGTCATACTACTTCCGGAGATTTTGTTCTTCTCTCGACCTGGCAGGAACTGGACAGGTAGTCTCTTAGGAATAATAATTATCGCAAAAGATTAGAGGGTTCCTCCGGTTCTTCCCTTTATCCCACTTGTCATCATGTAGAGGTAACAAGACAACGCGCTGTGCGGCGCAGGCCAGACACGGCAAGATTTGTTGGTTAGGGTTAGAGCTGGTGACTTAACCCGCCAGGATGCTCTAAACGGACATGTGCTGGAGGTACAGACCTTTCTTAGACATTGCACCTGCAACAATAATTGCTCTTGGTGATCGGGTACGCGTCCACAGCGGCGGATGTTGCTTCTTTAGTTGCAGCCGAACTGCAGCTGCAGTCATGCTGCTGCTACTTCTGACATGGAGCGGCCAACCTGGCCAGTCAGCTTCGTCTGCGACTCTGGTTGCTGCTGTTGGCCAGTGGTTTTTCTAACAAGCGAAGCGCTGCTTTGAGGCGAGAAGCCACGAATTGAGGTGTGTTTCTACAACCCCCTTCCAAACCCTAATCGGATTTGTAATATGATGCTAGCTTCAGGAGGCTGTTGGCAACACTGGAGCGCGGCATGAGAGTAGAGCAATATGGAGTGGAACGTGAGGGGGTCGGATTCTCCATAGAATCCTACTCATGTGACCCTTTTCCGGGGTCTGGCGCACCCCTTTAGCCACTGATTGTAAATTTTAAAGCAGTGCAATAATTATCGTGCCGATTTACATTTTGCTGGCGTCAAAAACCGCCACGTGAACGGCTTTCACCGGGGACGTCCTTCTGCGGTGGTCTGTGGTGCGAGGAGGGCAGAGAGTGGAGCGGCACGTGAAAGAGGCGCGGCGGCAGGTCTCTAGCGCCCGTCTCCGCGATCCATCCTCACTTCACACTCGCCCCTCACCACCACCGCCGCCACTGCCGCACCGCTGCGGTGTCGCGTTGCCTCCCCGTCTCGTCTCTAATGAGCGAGCGACAGGGTCTCTCCTTTGAGGCCGCCCCGTTCTTACGCTTCCGCTCTGCCGAGCCTAACCTCACCGCCCCGCCCCTGCCTCGGCTCGACTCGCCACTCTACCCCCCGGACACGGTCACTCTCCCATAGAAAGATCCCGCCAACCCCCTCCTGCTGCTTTTATGATGTCCAGCTTTTGTATGAAATACGTGTATTTCTCTCCGATGGTTTCGAGACCGCGCCATGCGTGGAATACAGACCACTTCACCGCGCGTTCTTGTAACAGTTTTTTTTAACACTGGTGGTGAACCGACATTTCCCTCAACACTTTAACAATTCCGTTACGTCGGCAGGCATTTTCATTTCCTCACTGTATTTAAATAAATATGCAGGAAGGGGGCCCCGCCCTGCCATTTGCCCTGCGGGGCCATAAGGATGGGAGGGAGCCCCGGGCCGGGGGCGGGCTTCACCCCATAGACCCGGCCGCTGGAGCGTGGCCGCGCGCCGCATCGGACGAAAAACCAGAGGGGCAAATAAGCCAACAAGGGTGTTGTCATATCGCCTGACCGAGCCACGGACGTGCGGGCTGCGCCGCGGGCTGCGCTGCGGGCTGCGGGCTGCGCGCCCCACCAGGCTGCTCTACACGTCCTGGTGGTCCTGCCGTGCTGAGGCCGTAGCCGTGTCCTCAGGAGCGCCGAGCATCCCCCCTCCTCCCCAGCGGCCTTGCCCCCCAGGCCGCCAGAGACATATTTGCATTCAGCGAGATACAGCGAGACGCACTAGGTCGGCAAGGCCCGGAAGAAGACAAAACCACCACCTACCAACACTGACAAAGAAAATACCCCAAAACTGCACATTTACAGATAAATGTTTAAACAGAAAATTTATTTACGAATAATGTCGAACGATTATGCATTTCAATGGAAATAAAAGTAGGTCGTGAAGTAGTAATGTACAGACTGCGCACTCATGCCTAAAATTATCCCACATCTTTTGGTAAGATGTAATGACATTGCTTTTATTTTCTCTGTCGTTCTTTCGAGTTGTCTGTACGCCGCCGTCGTCGCCGTCGCCGTCGCCGCGCAGACAACTGCAACCCCGCCTCGAACATCCCCTTCCTTTCCGGACGTGCGGTCCAGCGATAGGCGATACGAGCGGACTCTGTCTCGGCGGGGCGGGGCGGGGCGGCGCGGGGCCCACATAGAAACGAATGGACCCGACTCATCTCCATGTTGCAGCCAGCAGCGAAGCCCCGCGCGCGGCCTGTGGCGTGGCGGCGAGTGGCGCGGCGGGGCTTTGCTCACTCCGAGCACGTTGCGGGGAATCTCATCAGCCTTCCGCGGAAACAACACACACACACAAACAGACGCGCACGTCCTCACATACTCTTACACACACACGCCGCTGCTTTTGACCTTGGCAGGGCGTGGCGGGGCGTGGGTGCGAGCAGCAGCGGCAGCAGCGGCAGCAGCGGCAGCAGCGGCAGCAGCGGCAGCAGCGGCAGCAGCGGCAGCAGCAGCACCAGCAGCAGCAGGAGCAGCAGCACCAGCAGCAGCAGAAGCAGCAGCACCAGCTTCAGCAGCAGCAGCAGCAGCACCAGCAGCAGCAGCACCAGCAGCAGCAGAAGCAGCAGCAGCAGCAGCAGGAGCACCACCAGCAGCAGCACCACGAGCAGCAGCTCCAGCAGCAGCATAGCAGGAGCGGCAGCGGCAGCCCGCTGGATAAAAATGGGCGTCGCACGTGCGCGCCGGCCCGAGCGGCCCTTCCACTAGCTCCATCTGCGATCGCTGTCGTCGAGCCCCCCCGCCGCATCGCTCACTCTCTCAGGACGCATAACTCCGTCGCGACGACGACACACACACCCGCATCGGCTGACACACTCGCCTCGTGCCCCTCGCAACAAACACCAGCGCGTCGATTCGTTTGGATGCGCGCCCCCCTCCTCCCCCCTCTCTTTTGATATCTTTTTTATCGGCATTAGCCGGAACACGGCAGTGTACGGCACGGACGCACGGATGACCGCACAGAGACTATGAGGACGCACCCACACATAAAAACTAGAGTTGAAGCTCATGTGTGTACTCATTTGAACCACCTCCCCGCTCCGTTCGCCCGCTTCTCAACGTTCAGTCCACCACTCCTCTCCCATGGCAGTGAGGTAGGTGGGAGGGGGGGG